AAACAGATTCAAGTTTCAAAAAAATATTTATTTATAACACATACAGTAATTGTAACACATTTCATCAAATATCTACTCACTTCGTGAATGCTCATTTTATTGTTAAAGATTATTTTAGTGAGTATCAGATGCGTATGGAAAGGAAAAATAATATTATTTTTTATGGAATACCCGAGAGTAATAGAGAATCAGCTGAAGATAGGAGATGTGATGATACATGGAAGCTTGATAAGATATTTTCCAAGTTTGGATTAAATGCTAAAATAAACCACCCATTACAAATAAAGAGAACATTGACAGCTCCATCTTATAGCCTATGGTGAATATCCAGACAGACCACTAAAAATATTGCTAATTCTTCCACTAGGCCTATGCTATGCCTAGACGTACCAAAGGCAGCCAAACCTTCCGAATTCCAGGCTTTCGCGGGGCCTCTACGCCTAGCAGCAGTAGGGCCTGCCTAGGGCCTAGCCTAGCTCGTCGTTTGGATGGTCGTAGCAATATTCTCGTAAATAGGATGTTATTATGAAGTTAATAGATCAACCACAATGTATGACCAAACAAATACAAGATTAGGGTTAACGTATGAAAAGACTGAAATAAATACCTGTTCACATAATATACAAAACAACTGTGAATTTAGAAAAAAATATCACTAGGCCTAAAACTTAGTAGCGCACTACGACATTCATGCTGAAGAAATTGTTAATTGGAATTGCGCCACCACTCGAAGCTCTTCAGATTCTTGTGAATTTTCCGCCCTCATCGGTTTCATCCAAAATCAAACTTTTCTTTGGCAGTGTTGTTATGTGAACAAATTTCTAATACTGTATCTAACAATTTTTATGCTTAGCCTAGACAAAAAACAATATAATATATTTGGTGTAGATTCGGCACTCTACCATTCTTTGAACACTGTAAGTAGCAACATAATTCACACACCATTTATGGTTCTTTAATGAAACTTTCGTCACATAACAATGATGAAGATGAAGACTAACCGAATATTGGGAACACCAAATACGCTTTTGGTTTTTTTGTGTATTTATTTAAACTAGGCCAAAAGGTCTACTGCCCTTTGTCAAGAGAATTAATAAATCTATGGAAAATTCTTCGTGGGGTCTCTCCCACCCTGTACTTCGTCCATGTCTTGGCAAGAAGTCTTTAGCCTGGATTACGAAAATAAATAAAACAGAGCAGAAATCTGTACGTATATTCTAACATTTACATTTTTTGGAAGATGATGCTGAACCCCCCGCTAATTATCGCCCGTCGTGCAGCTACCCTACGTTTTGTTTATTGTTTATGTAATATTTTGTAAGAAATTAATTATATTATTATTTAGCCATTTGTTTACTGTATATTGTGTTCACGGTATTGTTATTATTATTATCCATTTGTTCAGCGCTATTAGAGAAAAGATTGAAAAAAAAAGTTTTGAAGTGTTAAATTTCAAGGTTGGAGAATTCACTAGGTAGTTCGTTCCATAAGGGATGGTAATGAAAATAACTTTGAATTTGAGACGATCAGAAACGGGAAGTCAATGGAGAGGTGTGACATGGCCAAATTTCGAGCTTGAAAGATGATTTTGGCAGCCCTGTTATGAAGTGATTATAAACGTCGGATATATCTTTAGCTTAGGAATTGTATAAATGTGAGTTAGCATAATCAAGCCTTGAGATGACAAGAAACCTGACGTAATGTAGGCCTATTTTGAAACTATTGGACGTGTATATTCCTTTTTCTCTTTGATTGAGCGAATTGTCATTAAAAAAAATCCGTCTGGCCCGGCTTAAAGGTCTAGATTATCAAATTTTCATTGACAAAATAACTATTGTATGCCCATATATAGTCATGATGTGCCTATATATGGTCATGATGTGATGTCATCATGACATTTAGACACCTCACATGTTTTTGTCAAATAACGTTTGATAGTCTGGACAGGGCTTCTAAGTAATGTGGGACTGAATCATAGTGACAAGGAGACAATACACAAGGCAATAACAAAATTGATTTACTAATAGTAATTAGTTTATTACTCCTTATCATATTTATTGGTAAATGCCGTTTTTAGCTTCAATTTATTATTGACGTAATCACACTTTTCTTGTAGAAATTTACTACAAATTTTGCATTCGATTTAGTTAATTTAGTCTCAAACAACGTAAATCATAGTGAAGATGCAATTTTTATTAATGTTTTGGCATTTTGCATACGAAAGGATGCTTGTTATAGCATTGCTGGTCGTCCCAAGTTGCCCTGCGGGTGTGTTGGTAATCCCACACCACAATGCAGTCTTGGTTTCCGTTGTGATTGTTTGGTTCGTGAGCATGGAAGTTGTTGAAATCGAATCTGGAGTAATCAGAGTATACAAAGCTTCCCTCGTGGTAGATGTCATTTAGGCCAATCCAGTACATGGTTCTCCAGACGGCTTCTCGCACCCTGAAATCGGTAGCTGTAATCCACAAATCTCTAACGAAATTAGATTCGGCCTGGCTATGAAGGGAAACAAGATGAGCTGCTCCACGAGGGGCGCCACTAGAAAACTGGCAGTATTTATCGGCGTCTTGCCAGGATAACGGTTGGCCGAAGACTCGGTAACAGTAACCGCGGTACTCTGTCCAATATTCTGGGCAACAGTTCCAAGCCGAGCCACCATGCATTGGGATGAATGCTTGGACCAGAACCGCTACTAATACCAAAACCAACATTTCAAACGTTGTTAGAGTCTGAAAAAGAAGAACGATGCATTAATTAAATAATATCATCAGTTGTGCGGAACTGTTTTCGCATTTTTGGTAAACTTTAGAGTAATGTAAACATCATGAAGGGCTCATTATTATCAAGTGGCACATGCAGTTTATCGTATAGACACTAAGAGTCATCTTTTTTCGACCATGTGGTTCTCTTTTCAATCCAAAAAGGTACAGATTAAAGATAAATATATCTTAAGCCGGACACTCGTGCCCGACGGTCGTCGGCCGACGCGAACGATTCTAGGGGGATCGCAACGCCACGACGCGCGCGCAACCAACGGGATAATTTTTAATGACGATCCGTTCAGACTGCCACCAACAATCAACAGAAGGTATCGTCGCGCCGTCTACAGCTCACGGGGAGCGGAGTTGGATTTGTCGTAGGACGGTCGTACGACGCAGTGAGTTCCTGGCTTTTTACTCTTTAGATGAATTTTATATATCTATTTTTAAAAAATTTAATATGGACACCACGTAATAAACAGTTGGTAAAACATGATACCATGTGAACAGGCCCTAATATGAAGTAAGAAAACATGGACTTAAAATGTCATATATTTTAGTAAAGAAGATAAGCCTAATGTTATTTTATGTTATTGTTTATTTATTTTTTCCGCTTTACACTGGCAAATAAACAATAAAGTATAGGCCTATTTACAATACGATAAAGTTGCCTGAGACGGGAAAAACCAACAGGTGAACCATCTAAGCACCTTCGAATATACAAACGTTTATGGTACTAATTATAATGTACTTGGTAATATTTATTATTCGTTATATAAAATATAGATGTTATGTACCGGTAATGATGTTTTCACCAAATAATTTGGCTCTTATTCTAGCGAAATCAATCTCTTATTAGGATTAATCAAAATCCATGAAAATGTCAATTATTTTGCTAAAGAACACAAGCCTAATGTAAACAGTCGAAAATACCAACTTTTATGGTACTCACTATAATTCACTAAGTTGTTAATAATTATTTATTGTGTTAGTATATCTTATTATATAATGATGCTTTTGCCAAAGTTCAATGTTAAATAAAGTTTGCATCTGGCTGCCATGTTGTCCCTGTGCCAATTTAAATTTTTGACTATTAATGTTTCGTATTAAGATTGTTTATTATTATTTTATGTAGGCCTTCACAGTTCCATTTTACAAATTTTAGTATTACATTTTAAAATTTTATATCCTAGATTGTTTACCTTGTTATCTGCTATCAGAGGCAATGCCGTAGCCAGCTATTGGGACAGTCCCACACAATTTTTCTAATGGGTCCACAAAGAATGTGTCCACATTTTTTAAAATGGGTCCAAAATATGCAATTTTATTCGAAATGAGTCCAGATTTCTGATATTTGGCCTAAAATGGGTGATTTTTTTTAGAAAATGAGTCCAGATTTCTCAGATTTTTGCGTAGAGTGGATCAACTTTTTAACAAACTGTGTCCACAATATTTGAATTTACGCGTAAAGTGGGTCCACCCTGATATTGCCCCTCACGATTTGAAAATCCTGGCTACGGCATTGATCAAAAGTGCTTTTGTTCACCTGTTGGCCTTTTTCCTTCACCGGCAACTTTATCACACTGTTATTTTATTGTGCTGTACGGTATTTACCTGTGTAAAATCGAATAAATAAATAAATACCGGTAAATAATATTAATAATTAAAAAAAGACGTACCAGTTATTTAAAAAGCAAGCGTTAAATTGCGTTGCCGATGTCTAGTTCGTCTCTGACGGATTTCACAAGCACCTTTCCTAGTACGGTTGCGCTGCTGTTGAGTTCGTCTCTGATGACGGTTCCCAGTAACTTAAACATGTCCTATTCCTCGTGCCCTTTTATAGCTGTTTTAGATAATAGGATCGTTGTAGAAGTAGATCAAGTGAACATGAAGGTCTCCTTAAATCGTCCATAATACCTGCAGACATTGTAAAATAAGTATTGCACTGTGAGAGCTTTTCCTCGACATCCGACTCATGATAGTTAATGTTAGCCAAAATTATTCTTAGTAGTGGGCAAAGAAAAACAGAATTAATTTTATGACACAATAAGCAATAATTGATCTCATGGTGTGTTACTTAATTTCTCTCCAATTTAAACGCATTACATTTTCTTTTTAAAATTTGAATTTTAAGATTTTACAGATTATTTAATAGTCTATTAGGCTATCTGCATCAAGTTGAAAAAAAATATCATCATTTGAATTCCCTTTTTACGATTTACGGTAACTTGGCAATTGAAAAAAAAGTAAATATTTTCGTCGCCACGGTGTTACAGACACAACCATGATTTCTACTTTCTTGGCCTAAACCAATATTCTTGGTAGGCAATCAAGTAAACAGACATAATTTTTCGTCAGAAGTCTGTAAATCAGGAAAAACATTTGTCCAATATTTTCTACAGAAAACAGTATAGCCTGTCAAAAGTAGAATCAGTTGGCGCAATTATTGCTGCCTGCTCGGACACTCGATCTTGAAGTCGGGGAATATGCAAGACGCTTGTGTCCTTAAGCAAGACATTTTATCTACCTTTGTCTCTCTACTTGGAAGGTAAAACAGACTGATGTGCGGGAGGAGTGGCAACCCCTCCCCCACCCCCACAGCCTTCATGCACAGTCTGTCTGGCCCAAACACCAAAGAAAGAGAGACGTGCACTCCGGCCTGTGAGACCAGAGACGTTTCGAACCTTACCTTATTATGTTAAAAGGGATCGTTTTATATTAAGAGAAATAATAGGCCTAGTAGAATTTAGGAGGAAGTTTGATTATGTACGTATCCAGTTAATGGTGATATTATCGTAAATAAAAACAATATTCAAAGAAATATAAAGAGAATACCAAGGTAGCATTACAAATAATCGGTAGGAAACATCATGCAATTCTTCCTACGTCTCAGCTGAAAATTTAGACCGAACTATCTGTCCTAAACTGAGCCACATGTCGGTTGAGAACAATCCGCTTTTGTTTATCCATAAGGTGTTTGAGTGCATATATTTCTTGTAACTGCTATCTTAAAACATCTAACATCTTTACATACATATGGTTATGCGTGTAAAACACTTCACTCAATTGTCACCCACTCAGGCCTACTGCTTTCCTGTAATTCCAAGAACAATTTCATTTATAATATAGGCCTACAGTATTGTTCTTATTATTATCACTATCGAATCAGATTCAAGATATTCATTTTGGGTCACTTCGGTAAGCGTAGAGGATTTCATAATAATTATGTTCGTTAAACAAAACATTAGTGCAGGGTGTGTCCCTTGCAAAAGAGTGGGCGAAATACTGTATGTGAGAGCACAATATCAAAAATGGCTGCCGTGTAGCCATTTTGAAAATTATATATTTTCAATGACCAGCCCACTGCATAGGCCTAGGCCTGGTTTTGGGGGTTTTGTGCGTTCAATAATTTCTCATTTGATGTCGGTCTGATGATTTGGCTTAGTTTTGATCTTCAAATTTAACAGGCCCGTAGGCAGTGTTGCAGAGAGCGGAGGCTGCGCACCACCCCCCCCCCCCCACATACACACATTTCAAAAAGGTCCACTTTTTTAAACCTGTTCACTAAAACTCGTTCCCAATTGCAGCAAAATGCAATACATTTCAATTTCCAGCTCTATTCGTAACCGATGATTTACAATAACTGTGGTACGATTTTTCTTTTCTTTTGGAAATTTATAATTTGATACCGGTAGCTCCAGTGAACGCAGATTGATCCATATGAACTGAACACTACCGGCATGTACGGTATTTAGGTTCCTAACAACACCCAAAAGAATGGAAAATTTAAATAGAATTAGGCTCCAGCACTCCTATAAGTGCTCTGAGTCTGTACCACCTCAGCCCCTCCCCTCTCCATGGTTTGTATGATTAAGGCACCTCAAAATGGCATTTTTGAATAATAATTTTTTAAGATTTAGCTCGACTCCCTTGAATTCGCCATTGAGGCCCTTGGTGGCCCCAGTCTAAGCTCCCTTCGCCCGCAAAAATACTCCCAAACTCATCGATACTCCTGCCTAAGGGCCTGTTCAAGATGGCCACCAGTCCTCCCATATACACCCCTTCTGGAGTAGTAATGTACCAGGACCAGAACCATAATTTTCAGCTTAAACCATTAATTCCAAATTCGTTATTTTTCAAAATAGACTATAATGTGACTTTTGATGATACTGGGTTGAGTTTAAAGTAAAACTACATTTATTTTAAGACAATTCAAATGATTTTAAATTCCATAATTGGCTGATATAGTTCCAGTCTATGATTATTATGTATATCAATCGTCGAATTTCTTAAACCGTTGTATTGATATGTATTATGATAATTTCAAATGGGTGCACATCAGTGGCGGCACGAGAGATTCGCCGATGAGGGGTCCAAGATCTCTGACAGTGATTCCATACCTACCTCAGTCCCAACCTTGACAATTTTTTTTAAGAATAAAAGGGAACCTCTAGATGTCCGAAAATGGCACTCATGGCCTGTGAGAATTGTTCGGGAAAAAAAATCCCAGTTAGAGGCCTAAATCTTCGGGGCGTTGCTCGACAGCTGGGCTGGCCGCCCCGGCGGCTGGGTATTGTTCAGATGGATGGATGGATGATTAACCCCTTCATATTATGGGATTACAAAACTCGTTAACCGTCGTCGGAAAAATATTTTTTTTTTTGTCAGGAAATGTTTAACATTTTTTCCCTCCAAATTACAGGGTGTGTTCACACGATAGATTGATAAGACTATTCATTACCACTGGGAAATACAATTTAAGCATGGTTTCCATAAAATTTCGACACTGTCCTCACAATAGTTTTAGTCCAATCGTTACACTGCAAGGTAGTCCCCGACACAATCGGAAATACTCTCCGCTTCGGCAGACCAATCAACATGGCCGAATTGTCGGCGATGGCGCGTAGCGATTTCATGGAAACATGTAACGTGTAACATGCACACACGGCTAATTATCCGCATGTTGGACAATATAGTACTTGATGTGGAAAAATTATTTATATTAATTATATTATGTAGTTCCAGCTTATTAACATCATGAAGATTCCTTTGATGGTGAAATAATATGAATCGATGTTTGCCCTGCCTGACGTGTTATAGTACTGTACACACAAAACGCCATCAGAAAAGCATTGCAATACCCGCTGCTACTTGGGTATCACCCACCAAGCGCAAGCTCGGTGGTCGAGTGGTTAAGACACCAGACTAGTTATCTGGTGGTCGTGGGTTCGATTCTCACCCGAATCTTGAGAGATTTTTTTGGGAGCATTTAACTCAGTACTAAGCGTCAGAAGAGCAAACATCGATTAATAACATTTCAAAAAAATATTATTGATTTAGGCCTATAGTGATTGATTTCTGGGGATTTTATCACATTCTCTAATAATACTAGAAATTCATATTGTATATAGATGTGTATAACGATGCAGGTAGTATCACGAACGACTGTGCGGTAGAGTACACAGAGAATACATAGATAACATAATCAATGAACTGATAATTTATTAGTTTCATTCAACTTTATTGGTAAAAACTGTATTCAATTACAATATTTGCACTTGGCTTGTGGTTTTTAGAACATAGAGAATGTTTACAGTATTGTGCACTTATGGCCATTTTCACGTCTTTTGCAATTTCTGTATTTAATTATGAATACAAACAACGTAGATAAAAAACAGTGTTTAAGGCTGACATTTTATTAATGTTTTGGCATTTTGCATACGAAAGCATGTTTGTTATAGCATTGTTGGTCATCCCAAGTTGCCCTGCCGTTTTTTTGGTAATCCCAAACCACAATACAGTCTTGATTTCCACTGTTGTTTGGTTCGCCAGCATGGAAGTTGTTGAAGTCGTAGCTGGAGTAATCAGAATATACAAAACTTCCCTCGTGGTAGATGTCATTTAGGCCAATCCAGTACATGTTTCTCCAGACGGCTTCTACCACCTTGTTATCAGTGATTGTGTTCCACAAGTTCTTGACGAAATTAGATTCACCCTGGCTATGAAGGGAAACAAGATGAGCGGCTCCACGAGGGGCGCCGCTGGAATACTGGCAGTAATTATCGGCGTCTTGCCAGGTTAACGCCTGGCCAAAGACTCGGTAACAGTTGCCGCGGTACTCTGTCCAATATTCTGGGCAACAGATAGCCGAGCCACCATGCATCGGGATGAAGGCTTGGACCAGAACCGCTGCAAATATCACAAGTAACATTTTGTCTGAGAACTTCTTGTCGAGTCTACAAAACAAATCAACGTATGCATTTAGGGATCAGAGATAATAATTCGGTTTTAAATTTATATAGGTCTATATTCTTTCATTCATATTTGTCTCATAAAACAATCAACAATATGAAATTCAGAGTAAAGTTCATTAAAAATGTAAATTACAAATTACAAATGGTTAAAATATAATTAGAGTTGTAGTTCTTTGAAGATAAGCCAATTATAAGAAACGGAACTTAGCTTCGGTAGCCTTGATCACGCATATGACGCCTTGTTGTTACAGTGACGTCATTCATGCTTCGGTGATCTTGCATGCAAGTTCTTACGTCAGCTTTTCGCTGGTTCCCCCCCCCCCCTCCATTTGTTGCCAGCTCTACTGTTGGCCTTCGTAGTAAATCATCGTATATGTGGCTGAGATCATGTCCTCCTTGATCCCGATTAATGTTGTTGCTAGTTTTGCGTATCCATAGTGATTCTTTGATTTTTCCAGCTACCGTGTGTGGTTCTTTATCTAATATCTGTGTGTTGACCCAATTTGGAATATGGTTTCCAGCAATGACATGATCTGTAATCGCCGATTTGTGGGTGATAGAGGACCGAGAGTTCCTTGATGCTCTGGTTCTAATGCCTGGTGTATTGTTTGTAACATCAATCCTGTGTTCATCAATCCTCACTTCCAATGCTCTTCCAGTTTCGCCAATATATACTTTATCACAATTGTAACATCCAATTTTATATACAACTCCACAATGACGTTCTTTTGGAATTTGGTCTTTTGGGTGAACAAGGGTGCCTTTTAACTTGTTGTTCGGTTTGATGAAGGTGTTGATATTATGTTGTTTGAATGATCTTCGTTATCTTTCAGTGAGACCTGGGACGTATGGTAGAGCAACACTAACCTTGTTTTTTTCCCTGTTGACTGTTGACTTTACCTTGTCAAAACACCAGTCTGGATATCCAGAAAGAAGAAATATTTCACATCAAGAAAACATTAACTGCATGTGGATATCTTTGTTTTTGACTTAATATAAACGGATTAGGAAATATATTACTAGAGAATGTACTGAAACATTGGTTCACGCATTTATATCTAGCCACTTTTTAGACAATTGCAGCAACCTTCTATATGGCCTTCCAGACACTTTTTTTAAAAATAAACTTCAACGTGTGGAGAATTCTTCTGCTCGACTTGTTTGTAACAAACATAACTTTCGTCATATCAAACCTTTATTAACTGACTTTCATTGGCTTCCTGTAAGGTTCAGAATAAATTAAAAAATTCTTTTCATGACCTACAAAAATGTTTATGTTTTTTGCTCGGAATATTTAAGTCAACTCATCACTGTGGGGCACCTGGAGCCCCACTAGATTTGTAAAGATGACACAGAATTGAGCTGTCCTGGTTGTCGCATCGCACTTAAGTCACTTTAGGCTACAGTACTCTTGAATATGCTGCCCCTAAACTATCTTTACCGAAAGCAAGTAAGGTAAGTGTAGATGTTTTTTAAAAATCTCTAAAAAATCTTTTTTTTCCCTTTATTATTGCCTTTAATTGATAGTCTTACTGTCTTGTTGCCGATCTGATTAATGTGAATTTTAAATAGTATAATTTCTTGCCAATTTGAATTTTATTTTGTTGCAATGTGATTGACTTTCAATATGCTATTTTAACTCTGAAAAGAGACATTTTGAGATTCAACAGAGACATTTTGAGATTCAACCTTTCAATCTATTTGATGATTTTCAAGAATACAAATTAATAAATTTATTATTATTATTATTATTATTATTATTATTATTTGTTATCCTTTAATGTCTCCGGATCCTCTTCATTGTGTCTTTACTTATCGGATGGTACGGGAAAAAGACCTAGTGGGTCAACGATTCTTAAGCTTGGAGCTTGACATACATGCGACCGGCTTTGAAGACGGCGTCTGCAGCGGATGTACAATAAACTAATTCCTCCACGCTATAATGATTCTATACTGATATAACATTTCAGCTTATGGCCCTCTATCGACGACTGCAAACTTATGATAAATGTTGCCACCATATTTTTAATTATGTCCAGTGGAGGTGTGTCTCAATAAATCAAGTTGTAATCATGCAGACCAGATGTTGCAAATGAACATTATTAACCAGGCAATGGAACGATATTTTTATTTTCAAAAGAAATATTCGCTGGATTTCATCAGCTATATTCTTGAAGGTAAGGAGAACTGACGGAAAGTAGGCCTAAATGGGACGCTAACCAGGAGGGCACATACTGCACCAAATGAAACTAAAGACTACAAATGCCTTATAGAATGTGAATTCAAAATAAGATTCAAATTATAGGGGTGATGTTTTGCCCTACCTGGCGTGTTATCGTACCGAACACTCAGTATGTCCCCAAAAACTAGCCAAAAAATCGCAAGTGATTCGGGTGGGAATCAAACCCACGACTTCAAGGTATCTAGCCTTTCGTCTTATCCACTAGACCACCGAGCTTGCACTTGGTGACTAGTGATGAATCCGATCCCATAGTAGCAGCGGTTACTGCAATAAGATTCAAATTAGGTACAATGTACTTCAATAAATAAGGTAAGGTATTCAAAAAATAATAAAAATAAATAAAATAATTTTAAAAATTGGAAAACTGTTGCACCGGTCGTGGCTCGATATCGTTTGGCAGTTTTTACGCACTGTTTGAACGTGTGGGTCTGTGGCTCGATGGAGTTGGCGCTACGCCAGCAGATGTTGAGTCGCATCCACAAAGGTCGAGTCGCGACTGGTGCAGCAGGGGCCACTGGCCAAAGTAAGAAAAAGCAAATACGATAAATTGAAATAAATATGATAATAACAAAATAATATATAAACACTTAAAACAATAAAGTAAAAACAATCAATATTTTTTCTGGTGTTTGCTGGAAGGTGTGCACTGCGAAACCCTCAACGGCTTTTATTTCCATTTTTATGTCTCCTTTCCAAATTTTTCTATTTTATTTTATTAAATTAATTATTGTATTTATATATAAGAGTTTTATATGTATTTCTGATGTCTTGTTGTTTTATGTCCTGTGTGTTTTCCCTTTGTTTAGACCTTGAGTCTGTTGAACCTGTCCTTTTGCTTCCTTTTTTCACCTGTCAACCTAACTAGCCAAAAAATCGCAAGTGATTCGGGTGGGAATCAAACCCACGACTTCAAGGTATCTAGCCTTTCGTCTTATCCACTAGACCACCGAGCTTGCACTTGGTGACTAGTGATGAATCCGATCCCATAGTAGCAGCGGTTACTGCAATAAGATTCAAATTAGGTACAATGTACTTCAATAAATAAGGTAAGGTATTCAAAAAATAATAAAAATAAATAAAATAATTTTAAAAATTGGAAAACTGTTGCACCGGTCGTGGCTCGATATCGTTTGGCAGTTTTTACGCACTGTTTGAACATGTGGCTTGATGGAGTTGGCGCTATGCCAGCAGATGTTGTGTCGCATCCACAAAGGTCGAGTCGCGACTGGTGCAGCAGGGGCCACTGGCCAAAGTAAGAAAAAGCAAATACGATAAATTGAAATAAATATGATAATAACAAAATAATATATAAACACTTAAAACAATAAAGTAAAAACAATCAATATTTTTTCTGGTGTTTGCTGGAAGGTGTGCACTGCGAAACCCTCGACGGCTTTTATTTCCATTTTTATGTCTCCTTTCCAAATTTTTCTATTTTATTTTATTAAATTAATTATTGTATTTATATATAAGAGTTTTATATGTATTTCTGATGTCTTGTTGTTTTATGTCCTGTGCGTTTTCCCTTTGTTTAGACCTTGAGTCTGTTGAACCTGTCCTTTTGCTTCCTTTTTTCACCTGTCAACCTATGTCTTTGGATGTTAGCATATGCCTTTTGTAAGCCAGGACCCAGTAGCATTTTGTTACGTTTCTTCACAGAGGTGTGTGCGTGTGTGTGTGTGTGTGTGTGTGTTGTTCGGGAGTAGGTGGGTGTGTGTCAGTAAGTAAATCGTTGATGTCAGCATTTAGAGTACAATGGCGTCATAATCAAAGATCCATCTGTATATCTGCCTCATGATAACTTTAATGTGCCTACACTAATGCACAAATCATCACAACGATTAACAGATAAAACAAAACAAGCAAGTGTGACATTAAATTCATATGATATTGAAACGAGAAATAATAACAGAAATAATAAAATACACATCGACAACAAGTGTCCATGTATAAAATCACGTGACTAATAATTGTTTCGAACAACGCCTATTATCAAAAAAGATTGTATCTCCAATTGGTAACGCCTCTGGCAATATAATATCAGATTGCAAAAGAACATTTGTTTTGGGCGATTACCACAATTGTATCATCCTATTAATCGAGGCAGTGAGGTGGAAATACTGAGCATTTCTTCGGCTGGGAATTCAAATAGATCTCGAGGACAGGTATAATGTAAAGAGTACGTAATATGAGTTATTGCATGAATTAACTCACTTGCTAAAGATATCCGTTTCAAATTCAAAGCTGCTTTCAAGACCTTGTGTTAATCGAAGTTTAATTGGGAGGGCGCTACATTTGTAGTATTTGTAGTGCAGATGTGGCTGTGTAATATTTTGTATTTGTTATAACATTTGTAATACAAGCAGACGTAATTCGCTTTTATAATACACCATTGAAAAATTAGGTAAAAGATAAAACAAAGTAGTCTGCATTTGTCTTTTATCATTGTTTTATAATTTTTATTCTAGAATAACAAATATTCATACATATATATATATATATATATATATATATACATATATACATACATATATAATATATA